CATTTATTCAACCCACCAAGAACTTCAAATCATTAGAAAATAATTTAAGCTCAAGACGACTCACATGATCYCTTTTCCTATTAAAAACAAAAGTTGAGATGAGTTATGAATAAAAAAAGACTTCTAAGTTTAGTAAACACAATAGATCTAATTGAGGCTGAATGTTTTGCATAAAATTGTTTTAAATATAAAACCTTTTTGCACATTTCAAAACATTTAGATCACAATTATCTTTTCTCTTATAAAACACTTTTAGTTTGTCGACAAGAACAAACAACAACCAAAACAACTGTTTCCAGAAAAAAAAGCTTGTTTTGTTCACAGGAGGTGAAAGTCTGGACCTGATTAGCATCTCAAACCTTTTTGCTGCTGTAATATGTGCAGACAGAGGTTTGGCATTAACTTACTGAAATAAGCAGGCATTTGCATAAAAAGAAGTTGTCTAATGGGAGAAAACTTTTACTAAATAAAAAAACATCATCCAGCRTATCCCATGAGCATTTGTGCACAGAAGCTCGTAGTTGAACTTTGTTCTGAAACACGCTGAACAATCTTTTTTATTTATTTTGTAAAAGAAAACAAACCTTAAAATGTGGATCATATTTAAAAAAACTTCAACTAAAGACAGAAAAGTTTAAAGATATTCAGGATGTTCAGTCAGCTGTTCTGGCAAAATCAAACAAGCCAACTGTTGTAAGAAATGACCGTTTTTATTTGATTTAGTGCAAATAGATACAGGAATTACACAGTCCCCCCCCCCACCAAATACCTGCACCAGTTCAAACACATAAACGAGTTGGCATCTACAAGTCTTCATAGACCCGAATGACTAGTTGCACATGGCCCCAATAWAGTAGCTGTCATCTGAAATGACTGAAAAAAAGCTTAAACCCCTTTCAGAAGTATAATTCCACGCTGAGTTTAGCTGAATATTTTGGCTGTTCTCAGTCARCTGTGTCTAAAGGAGAAACATGCAGACAGACTGAGGGAGATGCCAAAGTGTCACGACTGAAAAGCAGAAACATGCCTTGGCAACGAGAAMCACACAACAGAAGAAATGACGAACACATGGACAGAAGCAGGAGGTAAACAGGGAGGAAGCATGTGGAGGGGTTCACGCCAAGAAAAGTMCTAATTAAATCATTAATAATAGAAGAATAGAAGGTAATGTAGTGATGAGGTGAAAATAATATTTATTGAAAAACCATGAATTTGACGAAAGCTTTGTTTGGCGTGGCTTCACCAAAACAAGTCATGTAGAAAACAGACACATTTCTAAAATGACAGAGCTGGATATCAGGTAAAGAACAAGCAAAGATTTGTGCCTTTACTGTTTTGGTGTAATTTTATTAATATAACATAAAAGAAATAATTGGAATTCATTAGCTCATCCAATATTAATTGCAAAATGTTTTATTTTATATCATTTTTGTTTTTCTGTTTTTTTTTCTTATTGTTTTTATTATTGTTGGATATTGTTTTGTTTTTATTATCTGGAGGACTACATTAGCCTTCGGCTAAATACCAAATTTACCTAATTTCCCTCTGGAATCAATAAAGAATTGAATTGAAATCTGGTGCAATGCATCAAATGTTTTTTTTTTTTTTGTTTAATTGCACGTTGTACTAATAAATAAATTAATTCATCCAAGAGCTGTCAAAACTTTGCTTCAGCTCAGCGTCAAACTGTCTTGAGTCCTATTTCTGCTGAAAATATGAGTTAAATTTTTAAAAATAGTCCTCAGTGTGCCCCCATTCTTCACAGCTGACCTGTCAACAGCAATATGAGCCTGTTTGAACCTGACGGATGAACAATGTTGTTTTTATTAGTAAAGTCCATGCATCAAAGGATTCGAGCTGTCGAGGTGATGACAGGGTGCAAACAAGTGCTCATTCTGATTTATTTGAGGATCAGGATTATGTTGTTTGTGTTTTTCTTTAAGCAGCTGGATGAGCTGTACAAGCAGTGATTTTGTGTTTGTAACAAGTTTGTTTCTTTGCTTGGCAGCGTTTTAACTTGCATTAATTAGTGAAAGCACGGTTTCTTCTTGTTTGACAGTCCGCCTCTGCAGGAAACTTTGCATTTTGAAGAGTAATGGTTTGGAGGTTTTTTTCTTAACTTTGCAATTTCACAAAGCGCTAACTAAAAAAAAGGAAGAAAAGCCAAAAATCTTCAGCCAAAGATTAGAAAATCTGTTGTTTTCTTTTTCAACTTTTTTAATTCACCACATCCCAGATTACTGACCATTCTCTAAGCACTGCACAGTCTGACCTTGGGGTGAAGCACTCCTACACTCCTGTGAAGATTAGCAGAGATCCTAAATTATTTCTCCTCTCAAAGAGCGTCTGTCACTGTTAAACGACAAACTMCAACCCCTCCCAGCTGCCACTCTTCTTATTGCTGATGTCTCTCCTTGGCGTTGCACTAACACACCCATGTTTGCTCAAGAACAACAAGGTGACATCACTTCAAGCTTTTAAAGAGATGCTCAAACTGATAACAATCAGCTAATCAGGAACATTTGATCAGCAGCACCTGGCTGTTTATTTCTCTCTTCAATGGAAGCAAACAGCAGGAGTGGACTTTGTTTTCACTCTCAGCTCTCCGTCTTGCTTTTGTTATAGTTTGATCATTCATTTTCTGATGGAATCTGTTGTGTGTTTCTGTACACTTGAAGTGAAGTTTGACTAAATTAAAGAGCGAATATTTTAATATGTTATGACACCCAAAAACCAACAGAAAAAAGGCGGAGCATGGGCTTTCTTTTTCCCATGACTAGAAGAAAGATGTAAATAAACATGAATCAAACTGGTTCATTTCTAAAGTTTAATCCACAAACGTCAAAAGTTTAATTCACATACGTCCTCTCTTTGTGTGTGATTATTATTTTAAATTGATTTTCATCAGCAGAGTGTTAATTATAAGCAGAGGAATAATACAGAGACCCTCTCTCTCTTTCGCTCTCGTGCCACCAAAGCAAAAATCAATCCAAAAGTTTATTGTTTTATTCCCCTGACATCGAACAGTTTATGTCCTCAGAAGATCAATAAGACTTTACAAAAGCTCAAAGCAGGCAAGGACATCCGGTTAGAGATGCCTTCTGATATGAGCAATAAAAAGCTCATGTTTATAGCACCTCGGGTGATTTTCTGGGAACCTGTTGGCAGAGCTTTTAATGCCTTTTCCAAAGAGGGGAAAAAAAGAAAAGCTCATGACTCAAATATTTGATGTGTAGACAAATGCATCCACACACTTATGACCAGAGCAGCTTCAAAGCGAGGCCGTCTTGATGATGTCACAGCCCTGAATGCATTAACATTCAGAGCGTGGATTTAAACATTTGATTTGGCCACTCTGCTTTTACAGGCGTTCTGCTTCTTGCTTGGACATTCTGAAATAATCATTGATAAAACAACCCTATTCATCAAAGCCTTTCTCAACCAGAAATGTGGGCACATTCCTGACTCTGACAAGAWTTTCAAAAACAGCTTAAGATAAACCCTTATTATTCTACAAAATAACATCTTATAGTGAAAAATGACAAGGCCTGTTTTTGGTCAAACTTAAGATATGCAAAATCTTGTTCTCAAGATGTTGGAGATGACTTTTAGCTATAACCTCAAATGTTAGCTCAGTTTCTGTAAAAGTGACTTTTTGTTGCCAAATTTCAATAGCTGTGGCAGCCATTTTGAATTGTACTGACATGAGAAGTTTATCAGGTCTTGTTAAACATCCATTGATAACATCCTGAAAGTTTCATGAAAATCCTTTATGTGGTTCATGAGATATTTTGCTAACAGTCAAACAGACTTGTCTCCAACAGTTAACACCAAAGTTTTAAACAAACTAAATATTGTATAATGCAGATTTTAGAGTATGTGTTGGTGATTATATTAACTACTACCACACCCAATTTTAGCTCAGTATTTGTAGATCTGACTGAGTTCTAATCTGTTGTAAGGTCAGCTGGATGTGGAGTCCATCTTTAACTGGTTTGACTTCAAAACACAATCACGTTTAGATTTACCTTTGATAGTTTTTTCCTGAAAATTTCAATAGAATCTGCCCAGAGGTTCACAACATACTTTTGCCAACAGACAGACTGACTTTGAAAGTTAATGAGAAAGGTTTAAACATTCTTGTTTTGTTTATTTTGCATGATCTCACATGTAAAGTAAAAATTATTTCTTAAATCTAATCTGACAACAGGTCAGGTTTCGATTCAAAAACGGGGTTCTGGATCAGATGGGGGTTCAGACTGGTGGAAAGTGCACGTGGCCACCAAGTGGTGACGAAGAGAAAGACTGTCTTGTTTCTCACCAAGTGGAGACCTGATATCAGGGGATCACGCGCTGTGATGCTGCTCATTCTCCTCCTGAAGCAGAGCTGATGTGGAGCCTCCAGTTTCTGCACATTTTTTTCTCGTTCTTTGTAACCTGTTAATGTTTACTTGGACAGTAACTGGGCGAGCATTTTTCTTTTCTTATTTTATTTCATTTTTTCTTCTTTTGCTGGGGGAAGGCTGATGGGGCACATTTTTTTTGTCTCCCTGCAACTTCCAAACATTTCCCAGCCATTATATGTTATTTCATCCTTTGTTTTTCTCAGAGCATGGCTGGTGTCCAAGACCGTCTCTCCTTCTACCATCCCAGAGAGGCATGAAGAGGCTCTGATTAGGTCTCGTCACTTGTAAGGACGCAGAGGAAGACTATTTGGCGCAACCTTGAAGGGCGCGCGCACTGCCCGGAGCAGGAACCCGCAGGCAGCGATGGAAAACATTTCCAACGAGGGGGACATGTGGCAGCTCAACGAGTCCTGGAGGAACTCGAGCCTCCTGAACGGGACCTCCGGGGTCTGGAACCAGACGAACCCCCTGAAGCGGAACGAGGAGGTGGCGAAGGTAGAGGTGACGGTGCTGGCGCTGGTGCTGTTCCTGGCGCTGGCCGGGAACCTGTGCGTCCTGCTGGCTATCCACACCACCAAGCACAGCCAGTCCCGC